CTCACCAGCACCTGAAGCCACGGCCTCACCAGTACCTAGAGCAGTAGACGTACTAGCACCGAGAGCAGCAGCCTCACCAGCACCTAGAGCAGGAGACGCACTAGCACCTAGAGCAGCAGCCTCACCAGGGTCAGGCGGTACGCACAGAGAACAGGCACGATCAGCACTAGTAGGCAATGCATACATGGCAGTGAGAATAGCATCATAGTCACGCGCAAAGATATCTACCCTCTGTCCATGCAGCTCCAGCCAGGTGGGGAGCTCAGCCTCGTCGCCAAACACTGTGCGCCAGTCGTCGCTCAGACGAGCGAAGCAGCGGGACTGTGTGTGACCAAGCGTCCCACAAGGCTGACCAGTCCTAGCACCTGTGCGAATGACGTACGAGCAGCGAACTGTACGTGTAGACCTGCTACACTGAGCGTACCACTCCTGGAGCTGCCGGGGCGTAAGTGTCTCACGTGGACGCCCCTGCAGCTGTAGCTGGCCACTGCCAGACGCTCCCAACTGACCAGCTCCAGGGCGACAGCTACGACGGCTACTGCGACAACCCCAGCTAGTATACCACTCACTAAGCTGCTGGGGCGTCAGAGGCTCGCGTGAACGTCGCTGGAGCTGCATCTGGCCACCTGCCAGTAGCAGTAGCAGCAGCAGTAGCGCGGGCAAGGCAGGCGCGGCAGGCAGGCAGGCAAGCAGGCAGGCAGGTAGGCAGGCAGGCCGGCAGGCAGGCAGGCAGCCAGGCAGGCAGGCAGGCAGGCAGACAGGCAGGCAGGCAGGCAGGCAAGCAGACAGACAGGCAGGCCGGCAGGCAGGCAGGCAGGCCGGCAGGCAGGCAGGCAGTCGCGCAGGCAGGCAGGCCGGCAGGCAGGCAGGCAGCCAGGCCGGCAGGCAGGCAGGCAGACAGGCAGGCCGTCAGGCAGGCAGGCAGGTGCTCACCAGGCGAGCAGGGCCGGCGCTCGACGGGCGGCGGCCGAGTAGGCGCACGACAGCGGCGGCGTCGGGGCCGCAAAACCGGCTGCAGAGCAGGGCCGAAGCAGCTGCAGGGCGGGGCCGCTTCAGCGGCAGTAGCAGGGTGGGGCCGCGTCAGCGGCAGGTCGGGGCCGTGGCAGCTGCAGAGCGGGGCCGCATCAGCGGCAGGTCGGGGCCGTGGTAGCTGCAGGGCGGGGCCGCATCAGCGGCAGGTCGTGGCCGAGGCAGAGGGCCGCGCGCGGCTCGGCGCGGGCTGCGCTGACAGCGCGTGGAGCTGCTGCAGGCCGCGCGCGGCCGCGCTAGGCAGTAGCGGGCCGCGCGCGGCTCGGCGCGGGCTGTTGCGGGCCGCGCGCGGGCCGCGCGAGGCAGTAGCAGGCCGCGCGCGGCTCGGCGCGGGCTGCTGCGGGCCGCGCGCGGGCCTCGCGAGGCCGTAGCAGGCCGCGCGCGGCTCGACGCGGGCTGCGCGCGGCAGCTGCGGGCTGCGCGCGGCTGCAGCGGGCTGTGCGCGGCTCGGTGCGGGCTGCGCGCGGCTGCAGCGGGCTGTGCGCGGCTCGGCGCGGGCTGCGTGGGCTCTGTGCGGGCTGCGCGCGGCTGCAGCGGGCTGCGCGCGGCTCGGCGCGGGCTGCGCGGGCTCTGTGCGGGCTGCGCGCGGCTGCAGCAGGCTGCGCGGGCCTTACGGGCCTCTAGGGGCGGCGCGTGGGCCTTACGGGCCTCTAGGGGCAGCGCGCTGGCCTAGGGCAGTAGGAGGCAGCGCTAGGGCTGCTGGACGGCGCACATAGTGCAGCACGTCACAAGGCAAGGCAAGGCAAGGCAGGCAGGTACGTGGGGTAGCGCGGTAACCGCAGCGGTAGGTGGGCCCGAAAAAAAACGGTCCTACGGACCTTAGTGCTCTGAAACCATGTTAGAATCTAGCAGCAGGAATGAATGAACTAACAGGATGCAGGAGTACAAGTAGTAAACCCTAATTGGGTTGTACCCCATATGGGCTACCCCACTACAGCCTAGACAATATGCAGCACATATAGTTTGACACCACTGTGAGCGAGTCACACTGTCAGCTGTATCAGGAGGAGCGAGAGAGGTCCTAGACGTGTGGTCAAACAGGGAGACGTCGTCCCTAGGCTCGCTTCGTTTTTCCAGCAGTAAGTCATCTAGCCAGGTCTCAAACTGGATCGGATGGCCCTTGAAATCGAAGGTGAGAATACTAAGAGAAGCCATAGCGGGCAGAGCAGGGTGGCGTGTGACCAGCAGGGCAGCACGCAGGCAAGGCAGAGCGGCGTGCAGGCAGCAGGACGGCGGGACGGGCAGGGCGGCGCGCGGGCACTAGGGAAGCGCGCAGGGCAGGGCGGGGCGGCGCACGGCCAGGGAAGGGTGGCGCACGGCCAGTGCAGGGCGGCGCATAGCAGGACAGGGCGGCGCGCTGTCACAGGGGCGACGCGACAGGCCGGGCAGGGCGACACGCGGGCACTAGGGTGATGCGACGGGCAGGGGAGGGCGGGCGTGGCCAGCAGGGCGACGCGACGGGCAGGGCAGGGCATCGCGCGGCCAGCAGGGCGACGGGCAGGGAGGGCGGCGCGGCAGCGCGACGGTCAGGGTAGGGCGCTACGGACAGGGTAACGCGCTACGGACAGGGAACTATTCGGTGGGCCCTAAAAGAAAAACAGTCCTGGAACAGGACCTGCTATGAAATTATGTCAGAATACTGAACGAGAATGGATGCATTGAGATCAAACCTGTGTACAAGTACTAACCCTAATTGAGTTGTACGTCTTATGGGCTACCCCACTACAGCCTACACAACAAGGGCATTGTGATAATTTGACATTGTTTTCATTGACATATGTGTGGTCTATTGAATTCGGCCAAAAACCGTATTCGAGGATCTTACACGCCCTAGCGCGCTTCGACGATGCCAAATACGGTACGTGGTACAAGCAGCTTCGCTTTCACAACATACAATTTCGAGGAACACTACTACTTGTGTTTATAAAGTTATAAGAATTTAAAGCACCCAGTGGGTGTTACGATTTTGACCCATACATGCACCCCCCTAGGGGGACGGGGGAGAGGGGGTGGGGGTATTTATCCTATGGAGGGAATATGGTAAGTACTGACGGCACAATTACCACCATGAATTGGACCGTATGTCATTGGTTTCCCACCCCAGCAGTCATCGTAGGCGGTTGACCTACACCCGATCTCTAGGTGCATTGCTGCACGTGCTCATCCCCGAAGCGCAGCAGACATAAGAAATGCTTGCTTTCTTGCTGCCAGCCTTCGCTCCAAGTCCTCCATTGACTCCCTAACCACCATCGCCATTGCCCTGCTACCCCCTTCCTCCTCCCACCACACTGCCATCTCCTCTCGAGCCCTCTTCGCCTCCTCCCCCTCCTCTTCCTCCTCCCCATCCCGCTTTCTCTTTAACCCGGAAAGCACGTCTTCCAACCCCTCATCCCCACCAACACCCAACTCTTCATAAAGATCATCACCCAGCCCTTCCTGATCACCACCACTGCCCAGCACTGCACCACCCTCCTGACGCTTCTCACGCTCTGCCTCCCCTGCACGCACATCCGCCCCTACCCCTCCCTTGCCAGCCCCAAACACGCGCTGGTTTGACTGGTCGAGCATCTTGGCTGAAGTGGTTGTGACCTCGTGAATCCACGCACAGCTCTGCAGGATGCGTGTGCTGCACTGGGAGCCACGTGTGCTATGTAGAGCTCTGCCATTGCCCTGCGCTCCTGCTCCCCTGCATTCCACTTGGCTTCCTCCAGCTGCACTTCCTTCCCACGCTCTGCCTGCTGCTGCTGCCGCTGCTGTGCCTGCTGTGGCTGTTGCAGCGCCTGCTGCACTTGCTGCTGCCGTGGCTGCTGCTGTAAGTGATGGGACTGGTCTGCCTGATTAGTATGCCTGTCTGCACCTGTGGCAGCACCACTGGCAGGACCACTTGCAGCAGCAGTGAGAGCAGGAGTGTCAGCATCATCATCTGTATCAGCATCCAATCCAACGGCATACCGTGTTGTCTGAGCAGCAGCACCAGTCCTTGCAGGTGACACAACCCTGGAAGGAGAGACAGCCCTGGACTTGTATCCTCCACGTGAAGACCCCTTGCCCTGCCTTCCCCTCTTCCCCTCCCACTTCCCCTGCTCGACGTGCCCACCTGAACTTCACCATCGTCTGCAGCACCAGCAACAACAGTGTCAGCACGAGCCAACAACTCCCCATGGCTCCCTTCCTCCCATTCTTCCTCCTGCACGTCCTCCCGATCTGCACCCTTCCGCTTCCGCTTCCCCGTCCCCTTCACCCTACCTCTTCCACCCTCCCTGCTCAATGCGCCCACCTGCACTTCACCATCCTTTGCAGCAGCAGCCGCAGCGCCAGCACGAGCCAAAAACTCTCCACGGCTCCGTTCCTCTCCTTCATTCACCGAATCCCCTTCCCGTACGTCCTCCTGCTCTGCACCCTGCCGCTTCCACTCCCCTGTCCCCCTCCCCCTCCCCCTCCCTCTCCCCCTCCCGTTCCGTCCGCCCCTTTCTGCCCTCTCTCCAGCAACCTTGGCCTTGGCAATCTTCCTTCTCTCCACCCTTGTTGCAACCGTCACTGTATCCTCCTCCTCGTCGTCCTCCCCTCTCTTCTCTCCCCATCCTCCTCCCCCTCACCCCCCTCCTCATCCTCCAGAAAATCCCCATGCCAGTCAGATACAAGCACATCCGCACACTCATCCCTGCCCTCCCTCCCACTCAGCACCCCCTCCCTGCCTTCCTCCTCCGTGCCTGCGCCCCCCTCGCCGCCCTTCACTCGTGCACCAGAGCCGTCTGCTGCGGATGCCTTGGCAGGGCGGCTCTTGGGAGGCGCAGGTCCGCGGAGAGGCATGGACATGGGCACAAGGCCTGCATGGGGGGTGCAAGGACAGGGGGACGGCATTTGAGACATCTTACAAGAGGCATGGACATGGGCATGGGTAGCGCGGGGGTAAAGACGGGTGGGAGGGGGAGGAGGGGGGGAGAGGGAGGGGGGAAAGAAGCGAAGGGAGGCTATGCATTTGGCAGGTGAATGATTGATTGAAAAGAAAAAAAGTAGTGATGGTAATAACGCTCTCCCTCATGCCTCTCCAGCAAAGGCGCCCATTTCTTCCTCTCTTCCCCATACCCTCTTCCCCCCCATAACCCCCTTTCCCCCTGCTTCTCCCCCTGCTCTCCCCACCTGCCACCATGTCCTCGGTCCTGTCTGTGGGCACAAGGCGCACCACCTTGCTCTCCCCCACTCCCTGCACCGCCTCCAACTGCCCATGGGCCAGGGGGAGGGGGAAGGGGAAGGGGAAGGGGAAGGGGAAGGGGAAGGGGAAGGGGAAGGGGAAGGGAACGGGAGAGTGCACTAGGTTCAGTAACAGGATGGCGTGCATTGACCTGCGAGAAACGCCCTCAGAGCTCCCCAATCCAAGTGCTGTGAATCTCATATCTGCCATTGCAGTGAGCTGAATAGCCAGTGCAGGCAGCAATGGTCCGTTCGTTGCTCTGCACTGCTGCCCCTCACAGCCGTGCGTGCAATAGCCTGTACACACGAACAGCAGCAAAAGTGTTCGCTTGCGCAATCCGCACAGGCACGTCAAATTTCTCTACCTGACATCGATGGTACACCTTCTAGGTGAACGTTGGGTATCTGGGCGGAAGGGAAGCTGTTCCACCACATGGGGCTATGATGGTGCGAACAACGACGGTGATGATGGTGATAGTGCGACGGAGATAGAAATGACCAGACAGGGGTGCATCACACAACCCACAGCTCGGTCACTTTGTTGGCACTAGGCACAGCACGTACCATGTAGCCCTGGCACATGAGCAGCAGGATGAGATGATTTGATTCTAGAGTTGACTCAAAAATAGGCTCGGTCACTTGCAGTAAGCACAGCACGCACGTACCATGTAGCCCTGGCACACGAGCAGCAGAATGAGATGCTGCACCGCCGCACGGGGACAGCGGCTTCACTGCCACAGCTGGGGTGCGGGTGCGGGTGCGGGTGCTTGGGGGGCAACAGTGGCTGTGGCAGGAGTGGCAGGAGCAGGAGTGGCAGGAGCAGGAGTGGCAGGAGCAGGAGTGGCAGGAGCAGGAGTGGCAGGAGCAGGAGTGGCAGGAGCAGGAGTGGCAGGGGCGGCTGGAGTGGCAGGGGCGGCAACAGTGGGAGAAGAGAGAGTAACAGGTGTAGGGAGAGGGGTGTGTGGGAGGGGTTGTGCGGTTTCACTGAGGGCGGTGGAGGCAGTGGAAGCATGGGAGAAGGAATCAGCAGCGGCGGAAGATGGAGGGGTTGCAAGAACAGCGTCAGGCGAGAGGGTTTCCCCGACAGCACTGCTGCCTGCAGGCGCGGCTGTCACAGTGGCACCAGTGGTCACAGCAGCACCGGCAGAACCAGCAGCAACAGCAGCACCACTGGTATCAGCAGCACCAGCCAGCAGCTGTGGTAACAGCAGCACTGCCGGTGGAAGCAGCAGCAGCGGTGACTGTGGCAGCAGCCGTGGAGTCAGAAGGCGTAGCAGCAGCAGCAGCAGCAGCAGCAGCAGCAGCAGCAGCAGCAGCGGTGGTGACAGCAGGCGTTGCGGCGTCTTGACCTCGGGACAGTGCAGCCATTTGTGCTTGACTCATCAGTGCCGCCGCCTCTGCCCCACACATGCAGCCAAGGGAGAGAGTGGGTGGTGGAGAAGGCAGGGAGGGGTTGAGGGGGAAGGTAAATCAGGGGTGGGGAGAGATGGTTTAGAGGGTAGTGGGCTTGTGAGGGAGAAGGCTTGCAGGCAAGGCAGCATGAAAGTAGATGCAGGTGAGAAAGCACAGCGACAGGCCGGCAGAGGGTGAGGGGAGTTTGAAAGACACATGCAGAGAGACAGAACAAACGTGGCGCAGAAGGCCCCTCCCATACGAGCCTTGCATACAAAAGGAGATGCAGAGAGCGCATGGCAGGGAGTGAGTGCAGGGAACGGTAGCAGCAGCAACTGATGGTCTGAGTGCAGGCAGGCATGCAGTGATTGCATGCATGTAGATCAGCGTGTCAAGACAATGCACTGCAAGGATACCTCGCTGACTCCTCGCCCTCGTCTTGTGACTCCTCCCCCAGCCCTCTCCCACTATCTCCCTCCACCCCTCCCCACCCCCCCCCCCTCCCCCCCCCCTTTCCCCCTCCCCAACCGCACCTGAGGCAGCGCCGGAGCGGAAGATAAACTCATTGGCAAGCTGGGGGGCAGTGAGGTGCGGTGAGGGACGGTGAGGGGCGGTGAGGGGCGTTGGAGATGATGGTTCAGAACTCACCCGCCGGCAGCGCGGAGCGGAAGAACTCATTGGCGAGCTGATGGGCGGTGAGGGGCGTGGGTGAGTCCGCCAGGATGCGCGCCAGTAGCATGGCGTACGCTGGAAGGCGGACGGGAGAGAGAGGGGGGCGAAGGGTGGGGTAAAGGAAGGAGGGGAGGTAAAACGAGGGAAGCGGGCGTGAGGACAATGAGTTGAAAGGGGAAAGGGAGTGACGGGGGACTGGTGTAGGGGGGGGGAGTTTGTTGCTTGAGTTTGAAACTTGAAAGGAGTTGGGAGGAGTTCAGAGGCAGCAGACTAGTAGGATAGGAGATAGCAAGTGACACACCCAGCTGCTCCTGATGCAGAACGTAGTTCAATCACCATTGCCGGAATTCGAACATAACAGTGCCAGAACACGGAATACAAAATTCCAGAATACGGAACATTAAGTCCAGAACAGGGAGAGTACATCAGAGAGTTCCTGGGAAGCAGGTGAGAGCGAGTGAGAGCGAGTGAGAGCGAGTGAGAGCGAGTGAGAGCGAGTGAGAGCGAGTGAGGGAGAGAGATAAAGAGTGAGGGGAGAGCGAGTGAGAGCGAGTGAGAGCGAGTGAGAGCGAGTGAGAGCGAGTGAGAGCGAGTGAGGGAGAGAGATAAAGAGTGAGGGAGAGCGAGTGAGAGAGCGAGTGAGAGTGAGTGAGAGCGAGGGAGAGCGAGTGAGAGCTAGTGAGAGCGAGTGAGAGCGAGTGAGAGCGAGTGAGAGCGAGTGAGAGCGAGTGAGAGCGAGTGAGAGCGAGTGAGAGCGAGTGAGAGCGAGTGAGAGCGAGTGAGAGCGAGTGAGAGCGAGTGAGAGCGAGTGAGAGCGAGTGAGAGCGAGTGAGAGCGAGTGAGGGAGAGAGATAAAGAGTGAGGAGAGAGGGTGAGAGTGAGGGAGAGCGAGTGAGAGCGAGAGAGAGTGAGTGGAGCGAGGGAGAGCGAGTGAGGAGCGAG